CTCTCTCTGGCTGGATGAATTTTGTAGGGAACTGACAGAGGTGATCAACTTGCCCAGAAGTGACCTGAGGTGCATCGAGCATCAGGAGATCACAGACATTGAGTTATTGAAGAAAGCTATGACAGAAGAACTGGCTGCCCTGAGGGATGGGCTCAGGAGAAAATTTGCTGCTGCTGACCTGAGCTGGTTTGAAAGGCAGCCTCACACCATCCTGGCGGAGCAGTTTTCAGGGTGCTGGGCGCAGTGTCCCTTTTGTGGGGCTGTCTGCACAAACACCATGCAGGGACATGATGAGAAGCATCAGCTTGTCTTACATCGACCTGAATTTTTGACAGGACGGAAGTGGCATGGAACGGACCACCTGGCCATTGAGATTTGTTCAAACAGCGTTGCAAGTGACTGTAAATTCGGCTTGGATGGTCAGAAAATGTATCCCTACAAGACATACTGGGATGCAGGACCTTCTTATTCCAATTGGAGGATTCTTCCTGATCCATCCATGCAAGCGTACTGGAAATGGTTTGTGTGTCGTTTCAGAAGAGATCTAGAAATGTTGTACAATGGGAAATTTCAGGGCAAAGGAGAAATCCCTGAGGCCTGGCAGAGAATTACCAAGCAGGAAGCACTTGCTGAGCTGGACAAGCATTAGGCCACGCCGATGGGAAGGGAGAACCTCCACGGCTTTGCGGTTTAGAAGAACAGAGTGCAAGGTTGTCCACAAAATGCTGTTTCAATGCTTATGCTCTCAAGCCACAGGAAGACAACGGTATCCAACTGCTGACAAATTTGGGTGAAATAAGGTGTGTTACTCCAGCCCTCACTCAGAAACTCCCTCGCTTCCTGATCAGCCAGAATCCTCTTCCCTTCCTGCCATTAATATTTCCCTCTGCTTTGTCCTTGAGCAAAACAAAAACACTCCTTGTGGTGATNCAGCAGCCCAGGATGAGCAATCACAATAACAAACTCATCCATCAGGCAGAGACGCCCATCGTGTCCTTCATCCGCATTGGCACCTCTGCCTCCTCTTCCAAGTCTCAGCTCCTCAATGCTCTGCTGAGCAAACAAAGACACGACACCTTTTTCCACCGCCATTGCCGAGGCAGCACCAGAGAGTGTTTGCTGATGGAAGGTGTTGTGGAGATTGCCTGGTACTGTCCCCGGGGAAGCCCTGATGACACCTTTGAGTGCTGTGTGGCTTTCTGTAACCTGCATGGGGATGCCAGGGATCACGGAGCACAGCTGCAGTTCTTACAGGAGATCTCTGCTGTGAACGTGGCTCTTGTATCCGAGTCTGAGCACATGGATGACCGAGGGAACAAACTTTTGCGTGACCTGTGGCAGTCGCAAAGGCCTCTGGTTTGTCTTCTCACTGAACAAGAGAACATTGCAGCTGGACAATCCAGGAAAAACATAACAATAGGGATCAAGAACAGAAACGAAGCAGAAATGTTGGATGAGCTGAGCAAAACAATCAGGAGTCTCCTGGAATTGTCCAACCCACGTTTCAGCCTGGATGCCTGCGTGGACAAAGCTCGCCAGCACGGATTCTTAGTGGATGAAGATCGACCCGAGTGTGTGACAGCCAAAGCAAAGGCAAAGGAGTTGGTGACCCTTATGAAGAAAGAGAAGCTGTCTGAGATCAAATCCAAGCTCCTGCCTCTTCAAGGAAAACTGTGGCACGAGTGGTGCCAAAAAGACAAAGAACTCACTCGCTTGCAGGAGAAGGGGAACAGGAGCATTGAGCACCATCGGAGCCAAATTGAATCCGAGAAGGCAGAAATAAGAAGAAAGCAACTAAAGCAAGCTTTCTCCCCCAGTCAGCTGATGAACCCATTCCTTGACTTTCTCCAGTCGCAGCCAGCAGATACCAAAAAGTACTTCCTGCAGTGGATGAAGATCTTTATGGATGACCTGTCCTCTGGTCGCCTTGAAGAACTGAGGAGAGACCAACACAAGTTATGGTCTGAAATCCGCACAAGAAAGAAAGACCAGGAAAAAAGCAGTGAGTTAAATGCCCTCTCTGAAGAAATCAAAGATTCATCCATTGGCCTTGAGCATCTTCTGAGAGAGGTAGGACAGATTTATGAAGCTGTCCAATTAATGAGCTCAGAAAATGAAAATGTTGTCAAACTGCCCCAAACTGCAGCAGATCTGATGGTTTTGGGATATCCTGTGGAGCTGATGGATGGGGATGCTTCCTACTTGCCCCTGCACTGGGTGGGAGCAATCTTTGACAGCCTAATTGAGAGGCTGGGGGACAAACGAGTGTTTGTTCTCTCCGTGCTCGGCATCCAGAGCACAGGGAAGTCAACCCTGCTGAATGCCATGTTTGGGCTGCAGTTCAATGTCAGTGCAGGGAGATGCACCCGGGGAGCGTTTATGCAGCTCCTTCCACTGGACGAGGAGCTGCAACAGGACCTGGGCTTTGATTACATGCTGGTTGTTGACACAGAAGGGCTTCGTGCCCCTGAGACAGCCAGTAAACAGTCCCCAAATCATGACAACGAGCTGGCCACCTTTGTCATTGGCATCAGCAACGTGACCCTGATCAACATCTTTGGGGAAAATCCCTCAGACATGCAGGATGTTCTTCAGATCACTGTGCAGGCTTTTCTGAGGATGAAGGAAGTACATCTTTCCCCAAGCTGCCTCTTTGTCCACCAAAACGTGGGAGAAGTTACTGCCAAGGAACAGAACCTGGAAGGACAAAGACTTTTTCAGGAGACGCTGGATGAAATGACAGTGGCAGCTGCCCAGCAGGAATTCTGTGACGTCTCCTCCTTCAGCGACGTCATCCGCTTTGACGTGAACACCCACATTCACTACTTTGCTCACCTGTGGGAAGGAAACCCCCCAATGGCACCACCCAACCCCACCTACAGCCACAATGTCCAGCAATTAAAGAGAAAAATTCTCCAGGCTGCCAAGAAGGAGTCACAAGGCAGCATTTTGAGGCTCTCGAGCCTGAAAGTTCATATTGGTGACCTCTGGAATGCTTTGCTGAATGAGAACTTTGTTTTCAGCTTCAAGAATTCACTGGAGATTGCTGTGTACAGGAAACTGGAAACTGCCTTTAATCAATGGACCTGGAGGCTGAGGAGTCACATCTCAGAGGTACAAATGAGACTGGGCAACAGAATTCGGAATGGAGGCTTGCAGCAAGTCACCAGAGAACACCTGGAAGGGCTCGTGCAAGAGACAAGTGATGCCGTCATGACAGACATGGAAAAGTATTTCAGGGAAGACAAAGACCGTGAGATGTTGGTCCAGTGGAAAAGCAGCACAGAGCTGAAGATGAAAGATCTGAAAGAGTCTCTTCTTCTTGAAACTCGAAAGAAATGTGAGAATCTCATTGAACTACAGAAGAACCAGAGAAGACTCGATGCAAAGAAGTCAAAATATGAAGACGAACTCCTGAGAAGGAGCAGGGAGTTGGCTCTGACACTCAAAGGCAAGAGCCTCAGTGAGAAAGAACTGAGAGACAACTTTACTGCTGTCTGGGACAAGTGGATTGCTGAAGTCTCCCTTGCTGCTCCCCCTCCAGAACGGGTGGATATTGATGCAGAAATAGAAGAAGTCCTTGTAGAGCACTTTAAGGAGCCTGGTTTTTATGCACGGATCAGGTCATTTCCCAAACACAGAGAATTTTCCTTGGACTTGGAGAAACATGTCGCAAGGAAAGAATATTCTGATGGCTTTTACTATCAGGAAACCATTCCTGATGCTGCTGTGAACAACTTGCAGGGCATCACAGACAACATCATAAAGTGTGTGAGGGCAAACATTGATAAGAAGGAACAGGAGAAAATGGATTACAGTCGAAATTTTCTGCATGAAATACTCAATGAAGTACAGAAAGGTATGAACTCCGTCCCCAGAAACATAAGGTGTACTTTTAACAGAGATTACAGCCTAGAATTATCCCTGTACTTGTGCAGAATGGCAGGGGAAAGGTTTAAAGCCATGCACGAAGAATTCCGGAAGGCAAATAACCCAGTCACCTACCTGAGCAGCAAGAGAGGAGATTTCTTCACACATTTCCAGATTTCCTGCCAAGGAGCCATTTCTGTCACAACTTTTGCTGGCTTCCTTTGTGAAAAGATTGCCCCGTCTCTCTTCCATGCTGTCTGTGAGAGGACAGCTAAAGCCATCGCTGGAGACATGCAGGGGAAATTCCCAGATTTCCAGGGCAACAGAGCCAATCTGGAGGTTTGTATCCTGAGATTCCTGGCACAACAAGAAAATTTTGAGTATTGCAAGCAGTACCTGAAACACCCAAAGAAGTTTTTTCAGATGTACATTGAGAGACATGTTGCAAGTTACTGTTTAGATGAGAACAGGAGGCTGGAGAAGTTTTTAGCTTCCTCCCTTGATCTTCTCTATGGAAACATCCTGTCAGCTGTTTCTTCATCAACCGAAAAGGTCAAAGATAGAAATGACAGAGAGGACAAAATCTCTCTCTGGCTGGATTAATTTTGTAGGGAACTGACAGAGGTGATCAACTTGCCCAGAAGTGACCTGAGGTGCATCGAGCATCAGGAGATCAC